TGTGTGTGTGTGTGTGTGTGTGTGTGTGTGTGTGTGTGTGTGTGTGTCAACAGCTCAAATGACTTTAATTTTGCACGAGCGGTTATTGATTCTAGGAAAATGCTTTTGCATCTTTATATTTTAATAATTCACGACAGTGGAAAACGGAAGAGCTTTTTAAAGCACCTGACGCCAGTGACTAATGACTGCTTGTGATCACAACAAACGATCTAAAGATACTTTGCATTCAAGTGAACAAAAACTTTAAAACGTTATCTTTAAAAAGAAACAAGTAAAAATAAGAATGTTTCTCAGACAGCACACGTACATCTCAGAGACGTCTATTTGACGTCTGCATTTACATCTGCAAGATGTATTTTTTTATACATCTGCAATACGTCTATAGGACGTTTCCTATCAGATGTCAAATAGACATTTTGAAGATGTCTTTAAGTTGTTTATGATTTAGAATGCATGTAAAACTCACATCTTAAAGACGTCTATCAGATGTTTGTACGCAGCAGATGCTTTCCAGATCAAGCGATCTTTAACAGACGTCTTGCAGACGTACCTGTGCTATCTGAGTTGTTATCTGGTCTTTTCTCAAAACGTTAGCAGAAAAACATTATTTATATACATAGTTTAAAGAACGTTTAATGTTTCAGTTTTTTAAATGTTACTTGTTTCAGAACGTTCAGAGAACATTCAAAAATAACATTTGCATAATGTTTGCATGTTCCCTTAACATTCGTAAAACCAAGATGAAATGTTTTTGAAACAACTGTCTTCAAAGGGTCTGTTTTTCTGAAAGGTATTAGCGCTAGATCAGATACTTGTGTGGGGTGAAGCTAAAAGCCCCGTGACCATTCATGACCCCAATAAACAGTTAATAGGTGAATCATGACCTCAAGAGGACATGATGTCAGTTTCCACTTAGCCGAGGAACCTTTTTAGCATAGCATGCTAAATACATCCATCAACATTGAGAAAACAACATGTGTTGCGCTGCGATTAGCTGTTAGCTGCCACAACTATCTCTTTCTCTCTTTTTATTCATCTGTGAGACAATAACAATCTGTTTTACTGTGGTAATGACATGTCGTTGAGCATTTAACGCAACGCAACAGTTAACATTCGCAATCAATGCTAAACATCTGGCATTTTGCAAGCCAACGCAATTAGCAAGAAAAACATATTCACTGCATAGTTTTGGTTTGTAAATAAACTCTTACTTAAAGACATATGTTTATTGCACTTGTGCCTTTGATGTTTAATGCTCTTTTCGGCATCGCACATGCATTCCTCGTGAGGCCTGCCAGGTTTATCTGATCACTCCCCTGGCGAATAACACGAACCACATGACCGAATGAGACACTATAATCCAAACACATACGGCTGAACTTATGACCTGATTTATTGTATGCTACCGACTTTTATGGCTCGTCTAGAGTTATTTGCAGATGCTGACTCTCAGCCAAGCTAAGAGCAGACATTAAGAGTTTATAACTCATCTAAACTAGCTCTCAGAGCGGTGATTGTGAACTGCATGTCATTTGAGCGTCTCCAGGGAAGAGTGGTATGATATCTTCCAGCAGTATTGTTCAGTTGCGTCATGCACTTTGATTTTCCGCCTGGTTACATATGCTGCTTTTGAATAGCTACTTATTTTGGGACTAAAACATGCTGAGCAACACGGGTATATGCTAACGATATTTCACTGCCATTTACAAACCTGCTCACGAATATCACTTAAAATCTCTTAAAAATTAATAATTTTAATAAATAGTTTTTCTGGTTATGCAAATGTTCAGGGAACATTCCATTTAAGAATTTTGCAAACATTATGGGAATGTTACTTTTGAAATTTTCTCTCAACATTCTGAAACAAGTAGTAACATTTAACCCTTTCACACGTGAGATTAAAATATTCTAGCTGAGCCTTATCGCCTTATTGTTTCCATGGCGACATGTCAAGTTTGTCACGTCACACACCGCAGCCACAAAAGTGTTGTATGACAGATGTATCGCTTTTATTTCATTTTTCCTTTTTTATTCAAAATATTCACTAACGTGTTCACAGTATTATGAAATATCTCATATTTCGATTCTCAAATATTTTTTAAATTTATTTTATTTAGTCATTTAGCAGACGCTTTTATCCAAAGCGACTTACAAATGAGGACAATAAAAGCAGTCAAAATGAACAAAAGAGCAACAATATATAAGTGCAAATGACAAGTCTCGGTTAGCCTAACACAGTACACCTAGCAAGGTGTATATATATACATATATATATATATATATA